GAAAGGCTGAAAGAGTTGGGTATGTTTAGCCTGGGAAAGAGAAGGCTTAGAGGGGACATGATTGCAGTCTTCAAGTATTTGAAGGGCTGTCATGTAAAAGATGGAGCAGATCTATTCTCTCTTGCTCCGGATTGCAAGACTATATCTAATGGGTGGAAATTACAAGGGAGTCGTTACCGGCTAAATAGCAGGAGAAACTTTCTAACTGTAAGAGTGGTTGAGCAGTGGAACAGTCTGCCTCGGGAGGTGGTGGATGCCCCTTCGCTGGACATTTTCAAGTGGAGGTATGTAGGGCTATCTTTCAGCTATGCTCCTGCAGAGTGCAGGGGGTTGGACTAGATGGCCTGCAAGGTCCCTTCCAACGCTAACATTCTATGATTCTATGATTTTAGGAAGGAGTATTTGAATATGATGTCATATCTGAAAATGAAACTTTTAAAATGTTTAGGTCTATTCCTAGATAGTTTGACAGAAAATATATCAGTTTAAAAACACTGCAAAATACTCTATTAAATTCTGTGGTAGCAGCACTAGAAAAATGGAGGGAAACAACAAAATAGATTGGACGGGCCAATTGCCTTGAATGTAGAAACTGTCATGGGGGAAATAAATCAAAAAGCTCCTTTACTAATTTGAATGTACTTGCCCACCTGTGCCAGTCACTCAATCTTAGGCAAAAGGAGTAATTGCCTTAATTCTGATACCCTGACTCTTGTAAAATATTGCCACCTGGTTTTATATTTTATTTGTCATTTTAATGTTGTTTTCATTGTATTATATTAATTGATTTACACTGCCCTGAGCCCGTTATGGGGTGGACAGTATATAAATCAAATAAATTGTGAAGACTTTGGCTGCTAAAAATGCAAACTTAAATGCAATATATTGGAGAGCAGAGTCCAGTTTTGGTAAGTTAGACATTCTTAAGCCACACAATAGGTTTAAACTTTGTACCAAAAACTCAAAGTATGCATTATATTTACCTACGAGTCAAATCTGGATTCTCTTGCTTTCCTTGCTGCTATGTAACAGTTGTGGGGGATTTACTTCTCCAAGCCGCAAAGGACCTGATTCCGACTGGGACCATAGCAGCACAGGAGGAGAGGTTCTAATCTCTCCCCACCCATTGCTGTTTTCCCTAGCTAAAGGAAATTACTTGCCCCAGGGCTGCACATGCACTGAATACTGCACATGCAACCCTGCAGTGGGGCAGAATACTCCCCCGGGGCTATTTTGGGTGAGAAAAATGGCACCGGGGGGGAGGAGAATGAAGCCCTTTCTCCCCACCCCCAAATTATAGTTGTCATCCAAACTGGACCTACCTGTGACTTAGGGAGTAAATTTCCCACTGCTGCCATATGGCTGCAGGGAAATTGCCTTGGGGTAGGGAAACCCCAGCCCGACTTGTGGCCATTGCCAAACATGTTGTGTAATTTGACACAACTCACTTACTTGGCAGGAAGTGTCAAGTGAATTAAAACTCAGGTTAACCAAAAGGCCATCCAAGTAAATATAAATAGGGTCAAAGTTCCACTCTTAACTGATTTCAGGAGTGCCTGACTTTATTCTTCCGTTTACCTAAAAGTCATGCATAACTTTGCAGTACACTAGAGTAGTAGAACTTACATTTCAACATCAGTGTTTTAGTGCTTTTCTGTCTCATGTTTTTCTCCCTCCAGGGTGGTTTTCCACACATTGTTATACTTTCAGAACAGTTGCATATTGTATATATTCAGACTGGCACTGACCCACAAGAGGATAACAAGTGTGAGTGTGAAATTACATAAATAGGATCCTACTTACAAGAAGCTAAACATAGCAGTATAGACCACAGTCCTTAATCATTTATCCAAGCAAGTGTGTAAAACCATTTTGTACAGTGCAACTCTATTACCTGTGCAGAAAAGCCATCTTGAATAGGTAGGGTGGCCAGACTGCTTGATGGAGGCAGGAGTCCCCCACTGCCAGGCCCTACCCCCAGCCGCTGATCAGCTGGCCAATAGAGGGAACTTACCAGAAGAGAGGCCTAGACCTCATTACTGGCATCGCACAGGAGGTGACATCATCACACCGGCAACATCCAGGCGACGCTCTGGTATTTGGACAAAAACTCTATGGTAGAAGCTGATTTTTCCATAGTTTTTCCCCAAATACAAGAGCATCTCCCAGACATTGCTGGTGTGATGACATCACTTCCTGTGCAGTGACAAGGCCTAGGCCTTTCTCTTTCTCCTCATAAGTCCCCCCCACCCCCACCCGTTGCCAGGAGGGACCTGGTAACTCTATGAATAGATCAGTTTTGCACAGTTTGTAGAAAGCTAGGAGAGCAGGAGCTTTCCTGACCTCTTCAGGCAGGCCATTCCACAAGGCAAGAGCCATAACAGAGAGTATGTGTACTGCCAGTGTTTGATTTCGCCCATTTGCAGGATAGCACCTGCAGAAGGCCCTGCTGACATGAGCGAAGTTGTCGTGGTAGAGCATAGGGAGAGAGGCAGTCCCACAAATAAGAGGGGTCAAGGCCTTGAAGGGCTTTGTACGTGATAGCCAGTACCTTAAGCTGAGCCTGATAACAGATGGGCAGCTGATGGAATGCCTGCAGAAAGGGAGTATCATGCATACTTGATCTAGCTCACATTAATAGCCAAGCCATAGCATTCTGAGTTAATTTTGGGTGGAGACCAATGTACAGTTCATTACAGTAGTCTAGTTGTGGCATGGATCCAGGTGGCCAGGTCAGCTATATCAATGTAAGGGGCCACCTTATGAGCTAGGCTGAGTTGGTAGAGAGCCTTTTTTGCAGCTGCATTAACTTGCTTCTCCAGTAATAAAACTGGATCCAGTATGATCCCCCAAGGCTTTTAACTGAGTCGGCGAGGGTCAGTTGGAATCCATCAAAAATGGGGAGAACAGTGGCCTTTAAGACGTCCTCCTTCCCAGCCAGCATTACTTCAGTTTCAATTTGTTCACTTTTAGCCAGGTAACTACCACAGCCAGGACCATGATTCAGGACCTCTACAAATGACTTGTCCTAAGGGCTTTACATAGAGATTGAAAAGCATGGGGGATAGAATTGCACCCTTTGGCTGTGTTTCTGAAGGTATCCTTTTAACTGCCAGCTGACTTTTATTACTTCAAATATGGTTTCATTCTATAGTCCTGATACAGCAGGGGCCCTGCATTCATTCAAAACTGAATCTCTGACAGCTTACCAGGTGCCAAAAGTAGTTCTTCTGATGCAGTGCACTTGTTTTGAAAAAGGATATGTAAGTGCCCCATGGGACATGGGAATGCTATATAAGTGCTCTTGACAGGGATTTTACCATTTCCGTAGTGTTTGCTATTACTGCTGGCTCTCAATTAACACCAGGAGAAACATGACTTCAAAAAGGGTATTTATATTGATGTTTTGTTTTCTCATTTTCCTGGCAGGTTGGAAGCGAATTTGGATATTTTCCGAAGGATTTACTTGAAATAAACCATATTTATACCCATGATGAGCTAGAATTACCAACAGATGTAAGTTTTTTGTTTGTTTGTTCTATTTACTACTTTAGCCTGAGCAGTTTGGGTGTGTATAGGTCCAAAGCTCTAAAGGGCTTGTTGTTTGTTCTATTTACTACTTTAACCTGAGCAGTTTTTGTATGTATAGGTCCAAAGCTCTAAAGGGCTTGCAATAAAAACAAGCTGCATAAATGAATCCAACCAGGAAAGGGGGAAGGGGTAGAAAATGTGAAAACAACTATATCCTTTCAACATTTTGTCAGGGACTTGTCATAAGCCTCTTGCTTTTGCCTGGGACTTTTGAAATAGGCTGTCAAATACCTGCAGGCTACAATATGGTTGGCAGGAGGCATTTTACATAGTGGTTTGCATTGTACAAGCCTGTTGGAGATGCTGCCTGCTTGTCTAGTTCTCTTATATAGGTCAGTTATGTGGCTGTTTTGGTGGGGCAGGGTTGCAGCACATGCTCCAATGGTGTCCTTGGTGCCTCCTTCTCCAGACTCCTCCTGATTTTTCATTTGTAGTATTTGTATACACCATTAAGATGTGGTGTAAACTGAAGCAGTGTGATTTCAGTTCTGGGAGAACTTTTAATGTTGCAAGAGTTATACTCATTGTAGCTGTGCCTTGTGCAAGTGGTGTAGAGGACATGCACAATAAAAACAGAAAAAATCAAGGCTGATGAATAGTCATACTTCAGTATACGCAAGTCATAGTAAGTGAATAAATAAAATTAGTCTCTGATTTCTGCAAAATGTTAACAGGTACAACAGATACAGGTTATTTCATGGAACTGCAAGTTTTGATTTCTGTAGTTTCTGGAATATGGAAGCAATTTTTCCAAATTGTAACTGGAAACTTGTATTGCATTGTTATATGAAGAATATAGATCTTACTGCTAGAGGTAAAGTCTTAATGTTCAGTCTACGAATGTTATATTCTAAGCAATCTGATCTGTGTTCAGTGGAGTTTATTCTTAGTTAAATACACACAGGATTGCAGACTGGCAATACAATCCTAAACAGAGGTATACCCTTCTAAGTCCATCAAAGACAGTGGGCTTAGAAGGGTGGAAATCTTCTTAGAATAGCACTGTAAATTCTGGAAAATTTCTAAGGTGCTTCTTATTGGCTTCTTTAATTAAATGAACTATCTGCAAATTTACATAGGAATGATTATAATTTTAGCTACATTAAAAGAAAACTAAGGTATAATCTTTAAAAAATCCCTCACGTACTTAAAATGTCATTTTTTTCCCTTTGCAGGAAACAGATTTTGTTTGTTTTGATGGAGGCAAAGACAATTTTGAGAATTACAATGTTGATGAACTTTTAAAATTATCAGAGGACATGGTAGCTAGTGATGCTGAAGCGAACCTAGAAACTGAAAAGGAAGAGGAAACTGAGGGGGCTGATCCTATGGAATCCATTGATCCACAAGCTGATGATATTGAAGTGGACTCAGAAGAAAGCAGTGGTGACCATGGCGGAATGGATGAACAAGACACTTTTCTTTTTGAAAAAGATGAGAATGTAGAGGGAGCTCTTGATTCCAAGAATGAGAACCTTGCTGTAAATAGTGACACAGACAATCCTCAGGGAGACCAAAGAGCACATCAATCTTTGGAAGAAATGCAGGAAACTTTAAAAGTGCCAGAACATGAAAGTGCCAAAAACTCTAGTTTTTCTCAGGGTGAAGCTGAACAATCAGATTATGGAGGCAAAGATGATGGTGCTTTTACACTTCTACCACAAGATGCATCAGAGGAGCTGAAAACAAAATTTGGCTCAACTGCCGATGCTCTTGTGTCTGATGATGAGACAACTAGCCTTGTTACATCATTTGATGGCAATCTGATGGAAGACATGGATATTGACTCTTATGATGCAGAGAAGCTGAAAGAATTTGAAGAACAATCAGAAGAAATTCCTTTGCTGTCTTTCACAGAAGAAGTTACATCTTCTGAGGACCCAAAGGCTGGGAAGATGTTATCTGAGGGCATCCATGAGTCAGAAATGAGTGATCTTGATGTCACTGGGGAAGATGGCAAAAAATCCATTGATGAGAGGAAAAAAGACTCTGGTTTATTAACAAATTTAGGGGATACAATTTTTGCAGTTGTCAGTGGAGGTGAAAGACCGACTGATGAAACAAATGGGGAGAGAGCTGATTTAGAAGAGGCGGAAGATGATGATAAAGTGGTCCTAATCAACAACAACAAGAAAGAAAATATGCACATTCATTCAGAGGAGACTTCTTCAAAAAATGACCCCTTAACATCACAACACGATCATATTACAAAGGAAACAGAAAATGGAGATGTCCAAGATCACAAGGGAGGAAGGTATAAAACTCAGAACTATGAGGAAGAGCATTCAAAAAGTGAGGCAGAACCTGGTACACAGAAACAATTGCAAAGCACATCTATGCATAATTTTGGTGCCTTTTCTAATTACAGAGATGGCCTGGAATCTAAAGCATCTATGGAAACAAAGGAAGAATCTGTAAAACCACCTATGGGTGACATCAAAGATGATCCAGAAGGCCTTTCTCTTCATAAAATAATACAAGATGAAGAAAGGGAGAGCATCTTGGAGGACAGCTTGGAAAATGATACAAAACACAAAATACTTTGGGAGGAATTAGATGAAAAAGATCAGAATGTAGAATCTATGAATACAGAATCTATGAATACAAATGAGTATCAAAGTGACCAGGATGATACCAGTCTCTTCACAGGTAAAACAAACCATGACACACAGCAAGATGGAGAAGATTTTGAAACAACAGAGATATTCAGTAAGGAGAAGCAGATAAATGCCTCTGCTGTGGAAAATATGCCCACTGAGGGAAATACTGACCTGACTATCAAACAATCCGAACAGGAAACCGAAGACCAGTATTTAGATGACCATGAAGGCATTACAAGAAATAGTAAGAAGCAAACACAAGAGAAAACATCTGTTATAGAAAAATCCAACTCCATACAGCATAGAAACTTTACTCAGCAAAACACTGTTCACAATGAAGCTGAACGCATGAACGAAGTTATTGGTGCAAATACAGGTAGAGAGAAATCCTTCACACCAGCAGTCCAGTATCTGGAAACTGATGCTGAAGAAGACTACTTAGAAGAATCACAAGAGGAACTATTACAGGATGAAAATGCTGTTAGTGCAAAACTCTCTAAAGAGAGACTTGCAGATGAACAAAGTTTTACACTAGGTGTTCAAAGTGGCAGCCCCCAAGTGGAAATGCCAAACGATGCTATTTCAAGAGCTGCTAATCCTGTTGATGAAATGGGAGAAGAAGCAATGACAACACTTGAGCAGGGTGAAAAGGAGGACAGCATGCAACATTTGCATGAAAAGTATGAAAGCAGGCAATTACACAAAGTTTCTCAAATGACTGAGATGACAGAAGGCAAAAAAGAGGAGCAGGAAGAGGTGGAGCAGTCAACATTACACAAAGTGGAAAATTCTGTGGTTGAAGAAAAAACCGTATTCCAGGACACGGAGGACAATATGTCAAGCAATTTAAATATTTCTGAAGTAGAAGACAACAAGGATGACTTTAATGAAACCCAGGAGCATCTTCCTGAGAATACTCTACAGAATGAACTTACAGACAAACACCAGCATTCCTATGATCCCTCCACGCCTAGCAGTGTCTCAGAAAACGAAAAGGAAGCTGCAGAACCAGAGTATGGTGAGTCAGTGAGAGAACTCACTATAATGAAGGCATTTCTTGATGAAAAACGTGTTGCACGCATACAGAAATATCTTGGACAGCAACATGTTTTCAGGATAGAGTCTTTGTTTCATGACATGGAGCTGGAGTTAATGCTTGCTCAGAAACAGAATAACAACCATGAAGAAACTGAAGATGCTTTGGACCAGATCCTTGAATCTTCAGAATCAAATATTCTGGATGCTGTGGACAAGATTTTAGATTCAAGGGAAATAGAAAATGAAGAAGAAGTGGTGAAAGAAATTGATTTGTTTGATGAAGAAGCTGCCTTAATGGATGATATTCAGGAACTAATGTATTCGCTAAGACAAAAATATTCTCCCTTTAGTGAGAGTGCTCCACTTGCATCTGCCCTAGAATCAGAGACGGATTCTAGTGTGCTTATTACAGGTAAGATCTTAAAATGAATTAGCAACAGGGCTTTTAAAAAGGCTAGATATGTAGTCACACAGGTACCTACAAATTTGATGCTGACATCTGGAAAGGATTTTCCAAATTCAAACACTGGTAGAGGACAGTTGCTGATGGGGCATTTTAAGGAAATTTAGGGATGCCAAAACAAAATGAAAGCATAAACCTATTGGTGCTTTCAACTAATTCCCTTATTCCAGATTGAAAACATAGGATGAGAACTCCAGCTCTTTTGTGTGCTTCATTCCAGTGTTCTAGCTCCTTCTCCTCCCCACCTCAAAGTTTTAGGTGGTTCTTTCCTTGCAGCGTACTGCTGTTATTGCTGAACTGCACTTTGATCACAGTACTTCACATACAATGTAATTATCCTCAATGTTAGAAAAGAGGGAAGATTAAAGCTAAGAGATCATGGGGCTCTTCCACATGGAGATGCTTTCCTTCAGTCCTGCTATTGCACTTCATTTGCAAATGCAGCCTTTAAGATTGCTTTAGCAAATAGGAGAACATTCAGATGCACAATAAATGAGCTTAGTACTTCCACCAGGAATGGAGACATGCTACGATTTCTAGGCACCATGGCGACCTGGTGTTTGTTGAGCTATGGCATAGTTGAGGCCTAGGCCTTAATTTACACTGGGATAGTACGCTTATGACACTTCAAACTGGAGGTCACATATGTTCAAATTACTGGGTATTCCTCCATACCCCACAGAAAACTAGTATGTCAGGTTTAAAGTTAGGCTAGAACTCCCTAACCTCTAGATTCCCATGGGGACGATTTGGAAGCCTTGTGAGTTCTCAACACAGACATGTATTTACTACTTCAGTGAGAACTACAAAGTCTAACCTCCTGTTCTCCTGATTAAAAAGCATATTAAGGCCAAGTATGAGAATACCTCATTTATATAAGAACTGAAAGCCTCATTGATGTGGACATCAAAATGTTAATAAGGTTTATTTATTTATTAAAACACTTATATACCATCTTATATACCATCCATCAGTGGCTATTAGCCACAAGGTATAGATAGGGACTCTGGGGCAAGTGATGCTCTGTCTTCTTGGTGCTTGGGGGGGTCAACAGTGGGAGGGCTTCTAATGTCCTGGCCCCACTGGTGGACCTCCTGATGGCACTGGTATTTCTGGCCACTGTGTGATACAGAGTGTTGGGCTGGATGGGCCTTTGGCCTGATCCAGCATTGGCGTCTCTTATGTTCTTTCCTCATCGTTCAAGGTGGCCTACAATAGTTAAAACATTTCCAGTTAAAACCAAAAATAAAACAACAAACCCAAAATCTATTTCCTGTCCCCCACTTTAAAAGATGCCTGCCAATCAAACCCCCTCAAAAAGTTATTTAGGGATTGCCAACTTCAGTGTTCTTGAGGGTAGTGGTGCTCTACTGACTTTCATACAGTGATCCGGAAGTGTATACCTGCACTTGTGTATTTGTTTCAAAGTCTCAGTGCTTTAGTAATAAGTATATGTGGATCATACTGAAAGATTTACATTCTAATCTCTATGCATGATTCTTTCATTATTTGTATTTGAGACATATGCCTTTAAGTAGCACTTGAGTGTTATCTGACCTTGAGCAATTTGTGCTCTCCATGGTGCATTTTGTTTTTGTTGTTGATACCAGGTAGACAAATAATCATGTTTTGTGCTTTACTAATAAAAGAAGAATGGGGAGCTTTTCAGTCCTGGAAATTCCTCTGAAAATATATCACATAAACAGCTGTAGCCTTCTGGTTTTGTGTAATTTGAATATAATTTTCATAAGGTTTTGGTTGCTTATTCCTTGCTAATGGAAAAGTTGCATTCAGAAACTGTTACCAGTATATTTTTAAAAAAATGATAGCTACTCAAAGTCTTGATACAAACTTATAAACATATTCTCTCTTGAAAACTTTACTGTAAGCAAACCCATATTTTCAAATGCCTCACTGTAGCGATCAGGGCTAGCAGCTTATTTTCTTTAAAACAGAAACAAGAATTCTTTTACTTTTAAGAAGATCCCCAGAGTCTTGCAGGTGCTGTTTTACATCTTCACAGTGAAACTTCCAATACCATCCTAAGATGTTGTAACCTTCAGAGTCCATTGAGGTCACTGGACTTAGAAGGGTGTAACTTCATTTAGGATTTTACTGTTTGTGTTTCATACTACTGATATTTTATGTTCTGGACAATTTTTCTAAAAATACTTAATTTAGTATACGTGAAGTCGGCCTAAGCTATTTTCAAGCAAAGTAGGCAGCAAGGTAAGCTGTTCTGTAACCTTGTCAGATAACACTAACACTTCTTAACACTCATTGGTTCCAAGAAACTAAAATGAGAGCTAATTTTTCTGTTCATTGCAGCTAATGCAAAACAAACTGAAGATGACAGACATGCTATTCAAAGCCCAGCAGAGAACACAGATCAAAAGCACCTGCCATATACAGAGCAGATGTCAAAAGAGCAAGCTGTTCTTCACCTAGATGAACCAAAAGATGATGTGAATGTTTTGGCAGAGACTGGAACTGTGGAAGAAACAGAAAGCAAGGATATTTTTGGAAGTGGGAAGAAATTGTCCCACGTGGATGCAGCTTCTGAACTGACTGATTCAAGGACAAATACGGAAGAAGATTTTATTACTGGTAACATTCCTGGTAGTTTTCTACTTATTTATTTAGCTTTTCTTTTAATTAAAATCAAGGTGGATGACAACTGAACTAGTTCTTATAGAGAATTAATTGTCTAAAACTTAAGTCACACAATATTCAAAACTGTATGTTTTACTAACAGCATTATTATCTTGATTATCGGAAACTTGTGCAAACATTTTTCAGGCATTATTATTAATGAAAATATTAAAGAGATAAAGGCTAAAATCCCAATCCAGCAATTTTCTACACTTTCATTTCTGTGGAAGAGACTGCTTAAAGTACATATCTCTTCACGGGCACATATGTATAACAGATGCACACAGAAGCATGCATAGGGCTGTGAATTGAGTCGTAGCGGTGTAGAAATCGAGCCCCTGCATGCTTGCCAAGCTAAAATGATTTTGCACCACTTCCTCAAAGTCAGTAAAGCAGTGCATACGAAGACTTTCAAAGAGTTGGATCTTCCACAGAGAAAAGACCTCTGCTTCACATCAATCTCTAAATCTAGAATAAAGTATGCTTTTTCTCCTAACAGTGGAATGAGAGTGCAATTGCACTCAAATTATTAAAGTAGGGAAATCAACAGGTTATTTGAACAGGCCTAATCTGAAGGACTGACAAGTAATAGTAGGACTGCAGTTCTAAACTCAGGTGGGGTAGCCATGTTGGTCTGAAGCAGCAGAACAAAGTTTGAGTCCAGTGGCACCTTTAAGACCAACAAAGTTTTATTCAAATAAATAAATAAAACTTTGTTGGTCTTAAAGGTGCCACTGGACTCAAACTTAGTTCTAAATTCAGTTACTAGAGGGTGTCCCAGTGAATTTACCAGGATTTAATTTTGCATAATCTGAAACAGATTAGTTGTAAAATGGAGAATCAGAAATATGAGATCCAGGTAAAATAACTTAAATCTTAAGAATTCACTGCCAAAATACAAAGGTTTGGTCAAAATAATTAATGAAATAATTATTTTTAACCTAAGGTACTCCTCATGCTAAAGGTAATGCCATGGAAAAACACAGTAATCCATCAGAAGCAGACTCTGCTGCTCCACAAATTCTGGCTGCCTTGGATGGTGCAGTCCTTTTAGCCAAAGAAAATATGCGGCCCATCACAGAGATTGTAAGTGTTTCATCTGTTCAAACTTTCTATTTAGTCTGGGTTTTAGTTTTTGTTTGTCTGTCCAAAAATCAACTGTTCCAAAATCAACTGTATATCAAAAAGTTCAGCAGTGTTCAGTCACATTCTACTCCCAAGGAAATGTACAGGATTAAACTGCATTCTCAAGTGCATACGTAGTTCAATTTCATAGTAATTAAATCCAGATTCTTTCAGTACTTTTACTTATAAGTAAGCATACTCAGCCTTACTTTGAAGTAAGTTACATGACTGGTAAGATTTAAACTCACACATGCATTGAGAATTGCAGCCTCCTGAGATCGCTGTGTGTGCATATGTCAGAATTTCCTCAAGCACACTTGCTTGTAATATTTGGCTATGGTTGGAATTAAGGAGACATGTCCCTGGTGTACACCAGCTAGGGTTGCCAGCTCCAGGTTGAAAAATACTTGGAGGTTTGGGGGTGGGGCCTGAGGACAGGGCTTGGGAAGGGGAGGGACTTAAGCAGGGTGTAATGCCACAAATTGCACCTTCCAAAGTGGCAATTTCATCCAGGTGAACTGATCTCTATTGCCTGGAGATGTGTTGTAATCCGAAATGTCCAGCCACCACCTGGAGGCTGGCAACCCTAACACCAGCAGCATGAGATGGAAATTAGGTATTTTAAAGTGCCATCCTAAACAGAGCTACACCTTTCTAAACCCACTGATTTAAATGGATTTAGAAATTTTAGAAGAGTGCAGCTCTGATTAGGATTGGACTGTTAAACACTGCAGTGATAGAATGGGTTGTTGTACTACTTGAGACTACAGATGGGAAATCCCATTTCTGAATATTAACACCTGTATATTAAACACTCCTTGCAAACAGACAACTGGCACTGCAGGCAAAAATGAATTCCCTGGGAGGAAACGGGGATCCAGTGATAGAATGTGTTGTTGTACTACTTGAGAGTACATATGGGAAATCCCATTTCTGAATATTATATATATCCTGTATATTAAACACTCCTTGCAGACAGAAAACTGGCACTGCAGGCAAAAAGATGGGCTAGAACCTTTTCTCCCCACGGTACTTGTTTTCTGTTGGCAGGGATTTTTTTTTTTAGTGGAAATGCAATCTAGACCAGCACCTACCCTCTATAGCCTGAAACGGTGTAGTCTACTCTACCACCTAATTCTCCTGGCGCATGTGTAGATCAGGCCTCTCTACCAAGCAATTTGGTTGCTTGAACAGGGGGGAACCTCTAGCCGCTTGTCCTTAACTCTGTTGCATTGCTGGTGAATAGACGGCGAGAGGGGAGGGAGAGGCCACTATAGGAGTCATTCTCTGGCCTTTAGAAATTAAGAGGCGCCCTGGTATATGCTGTGCCCGTTCCTACCTATGAACTATCCTGCGTTCACTGGAGTTTCCCAAGGATTTGAGGGTGGTCGTGGTGAAAAGCAAGCCGTAAGGCTTCTTGGGCCGGCCTTTCCAAGCGGGTTTTAATTGCTACCGACATGTCCCTCCCCGCTTCCGGTAGAAGCCACGATGGCCAGTTCTCTTCCGGATTCCGCAACCGTGCTTCCAAAGTACCGGCACGGGGCGATGACGTCGGGGAGTCACAGGGGGAGGTCAATGCGAGGTGACGTGGCCCTGCGGAGCAGGCGGGGGAGGGCCGGCAGCGGGTGTCAAGAAAGAGACAAAGTTCACCGCGGTTGCCTGTGCTCCCCTCCCCCCCGGCGGAAGAAGCGCCCTTCTCTAGCGCCTGCTCTCTCCGACCTATGGAGCCTGTCGTTCCCTCCAGCCCCACCGGCACTGCGGCGCTGTTCCTGGGCCCGCTCTCCCGGGGCTACGCTTCCCTCACGGGCCACTTTTTGCAGGTGAGAGAAGGGTGGGGAACAACAAAGCGGGGGAATTCCCGGTAGCCGCCGCTTCAGCGGCCGCATACGTGTGCTTTTCCAGGGAGCTCGCAGCCCTGCTCTTTCCTTCCCTGGCTGGCTTCCCAAGGCTTTAGCTGGCAAACTAAAAAGGAGGCAGTCGTCGGTCGGGCCCCATAGGACCTCGCCGAGATAGCCGGTGCTAGGGCCGAGATTTTCCGGGGAGGCCTACAGAGAAGTTGTGTGGAGAAACTAGGTTAATGTTGGCAGGATCTGTAGAAATGACAGAGATAAGAGGGCGGGAGAGATCCTTCTCCCCGTTTCCTCCCAGGGAATTCATTTTGAGTCTCAGCCTTCCGTTCTCTGGCTCTCCCCTCTCCCCAGGAAACAGTTGGCTTGTTCTGGTGGTGCTGGGGGAAGGGGCACAGGCTTTCTGCACTGGGAAAATTAAAGGACACTGGAGGAGGTTTTGTGGACTTGTGCTGGTACAAGTGAGTTGAATGTGAAGGCAGAACGGTTTGGTTTTTTTTAAGTGAGTTTTTATGGTGCTGTTTTATACAAGTTGTTGTTGTTCAGTATAAGTTACAGGAAGGTAAATATTTTGGTCTCTGGTTTCTCTGTTACACAAGCAGATTTTCTGTGAAGTTCAGGAGATACTTTTCCCCCAGAAGCTTCCTGTAAACAAACTAGAAACAAGATACTGATAGAGTTCTAAAAAAGTTATGGTGCTGGTTTTATTTTGGGGGTCATCTAGGCTTGGAGTGTTGTTCTCTGAATGGTAGTCCAAGGTCTTCATTTATGTAAGTGTCTGGATGTCTGTGGCAACTTGGACAACAGGGTTTTGTATTGTTTTCCTGTAAAACTGACTTGTCAGGACTTCATTGATTTTCACAATAGTGCAAACCTTAATACTTAATGACATTTTAACTGGTAAGGGTGAAATAGAGGAAGGGGAAAAGGAGGCATCGTTCCTCTTTTGTGATGCTGACATACATTTAGCATAGGATTCAATAATGCAATTCATTCAAAGGCAGATTTGTTTGGAAATCTGTGTTGCATTTGTTGTTCTTTTGCCCAGAATTATTATTTGTGTTATTTATAAGTCCACCTTACTCACTGAGACTCAAGGTGGATTACTTAGTGTAAGTCCATACAGTCAACCAGATGGGACATCCAATAAATAGTGCAGCAGGATATGAATTGTAGAAATCTGAAAACAGAGCTGAAACAAAGCATAAGTATTAATACATGTTGAATGATGCAGAAATTACAAAGGTCCCTGCCACATGAGGGGAAAAAAGGACGGGCAAAGTGCGGCTTTTAAAAGCTGCACCAAAATAGGCATGCGGCGGCGGGATCATATAGATCCCGTGAGCCGCCGTGCAATTGCTCCCCGGCACGATCAGATGCCGGGGAAACCGGGGAGAAAGCCACGGGAGGCTGCCGAACTGCGCATGTCTGAGCATGCACAGTTCGGCCAGGAGCCGGGGATGCGCCGGTGGAAGAACGGGCCGGCGATCCCACGGCCAGCTTGGATGCGGCCTTTCGGAAAGAACCACCTCGGTAGGTGGTTCTTTTTTGCTGTGGGTTATCGTCGGAAGGGCCGGATCGGGGACGGGTGCGCAACGCTTCCCAGATGTTGCGGTGGGATTGCGCCCGTTTGCTCCGCCCACGATCCGTCCCTCTCCCGGCCCAAATCCTCTCGTGGGACCGGGGCCATAGTAGATTATACAACAGATAGTAGTAGGAAAGTCCACCGCTCCTGTTCCTTTACCAAACCATGTTTGGCTTGAACCATTTAGTTACACCATTTAGTCTTATTTCTCATGTTAAAAGGTTTTACTGAATAATTCAGTTTTGCAGTTTGCAGAAAGCCACGAGAACCAGAACCTTCCTGACCTTATCAGGCAAGCCATTCCATATGGTGTGGGCCACAGAGAATGTACATATCCAAGCAATTGTTGATTTTGCCCATTTGCAGGGTAGCACAAAATTGCAAGTAGATAAATAGGTACCACTTCAGTGGGAAGGTAACAGCGTTCTGTGCGCCTTGTTGTTTAGTCATGCCGGCCACATGACCACAGAAATGTCTTCGGACAGCGCTGGCTCTTCGGCTTTGAAACGGAGATGAGCACCGCAATCCTAGAGTCGGATTCGACTGGCTTTCGAGCAAGGGAACCTTTACCTTTCTTTAACCTGCAGAATGCCCTGATCAGATGAGTGATGGTGTCATGGTGGGGCATAGGAGGAGTGGTGTTCCTGCAGATATCGGGGTCCAATGCCATGAAGGGCTTTGGTTGTGATAGTCAGTACTTTGAATTGAACCCAGTAACTGACAGGAAGCCAGTGGAGTGAATGCAGAACGGGAGTAACATGCATGCTGTACCTAGCTTTTGAGTGGCAGCATTCTGCACCAAGTGGAGTCTCTGAGTTGATTTTGAGGGGAGACCTATGTAGAGTGCATTACTGTAATCTAGTCTTGATATTACTGCGATGTGGATCCAAGTGTCAGATCAGCTGTGACAGGGTATTAGGGCATTATTCCAAGCTACTGAATAGGAAGAATGCATTATTTGCAGCTGGATTAACTTGCTTCTCCAGCCATAATATTGGATCTTAATCAAGTCAGCAAGGGTTCCCAACCAGCGTTGCCTTTTTCTTGTTAGAATTCCATTTCAGTTTTTTTTCACACTTACAGTGCAATCCTAAGGATAGTTACTCCAGTCTAAGACCATTATTTTAATTAAAATGTGAACATATACATAGGCCCCGTTCACACGGAGCATTTGACGCGCTAAAGATATGGATGATAGGCAGATTTTCCGGGTCCGATCACACTGCAACATCTGGGAAGCGTAGTGCACCCGTGGCTAACCCGTGGCTTCTTGCCGAAGATACGGAGTAAAAAACTAGTACATACGATGTGCTAGTTTCCGGAAAATGTGGGGCAAGGGCGGGCATCTGATTGTGTTTCCGCTGGAATCCTGTAGCATCTGGCGACCGCCCATGTCCCGTTGCAAACCGGATTTTTTTTTAAGTCTCCACAGGATGCGCACAAATGCCCACCAGCACATGCACACACTGTGGTGAGGGGGGGAAATTACCATTTGCCACGGAAGCGGCACCTAGCGATTGCCAGTGTGATCGTGCCACGCTGCTTCTTTGCCACGCTGCAGAATAGCTGTGTGATCACCACCTAATGGCATACCCACGGGACCTCCATGGGACATGTGATCGGACTGCCGCGTGTTACTTTGCTCCGGGGCAAACAGCCACACTTCCCCCCCGCATTTTCCGGCCCGTGTGACCGGGACCATAGTATGTTGGTAGCTATCATATATTTAAAGTGGCCTTGGGTCTTGCATTGGTTTGGCAGAGAAAACAGTCCTATGCAAAATAAAAACTTGGTACTATTTCAGAACCCAGGACTAATTTTCTTAATTTCAAACATGATCACATTTTTGTTTTGAAATTATAATTTGAGGAGTACTTAAATTAAAATGGGTCAACAGGAATTCTAAAAGGCAAAATATTAGGATTAGTATAATATAAGAAAGGTGACCCGCGATACTCGCGGGGGGCGGGGAGAGAAGAGCTCCACACAGAGCAGGAGGAGGAGGCAGCAGCAGCAGCAGCAGGTAAGCCCTCTTCCCCCATCCCCGGACACCAGCGGTGTGGTCTGAGCAGCTTCCAGCCACCGGGCCCCACCAATCTCTCCTCCCCCCGCTCCTTCACCCTCCGCCGGTCTCCTTCCCCCCCTCCAGCTCCTGCGGCCGTTCTCCTCCTGCCTCACTGATCTCCCACCCCGGTTCCGGCGGTCTCCTCCTTAGCTGCCACCGATCTCCCCCTCCCTCCCCGGCTCTGGCGATCTCCTCCGCCGCTAATCTCCCCCCCAACTCTGGCGGTCTCCTCCGCCACTTCCACCAATCACCTCCTCCCCCTGGCTCTGGTGATCTCCTCTGCTGCCGCTACCTGTCTCCTCTCCTCCCCCCCGGCTCCGGCGATCTCCTCCTCCTCCGGGCCTGCTGATCTCCTCCCCCCTGGCTCCGACAATCTCCTCTGCCGCTGCTGTCGCTGTCAATCTCCTCTCCCCCCCCCGCTCCTGCGGCGAGGCCTGAGCGACTTCCAACCGCTGGCCCGCCGCAGAGTTCCTAGAGCGTTCCCTGTGCACGTGCAGGAAACACTCTTTTACTTTTGGGGGGGATTTAAATATCCCCCCTATATTTTTTTTCAACTTTTTCCATTTTTTCACCAGGTGCCCCTGATGTGCGGATTTAGATATCCACACACAGGAGGCCCCTTCGCTATTAGATATATAGATGCATGGGATGGTGAAAGTGTGTAGAGGGAGCTTTTTCTCTCTCCTCTATAATAGTAGAAGTTGGGGGCACCCAGTGGGATTTTTGGGAAATAGTTCAGCACAGACAAAAGCAAATACACCTTTGTGCAAAGAGTAATTAAACGGTGGAATTCTCTGCCAGGGGAGGTAGTGATGGCCACAATCATAGATAACTTTAAAGGGGGGGGGTTAGACAGATTGATGGAGGAGAGGTCCATCAGTGGCTACTAGCCATGGTGACTGAAGGGAGCATATGTATACAGAGGCAACAAACGTCTGAACAAACCAGGGCTGGGAGGCAGCAGCAGAGGAGGGCCTTTATGCCCTGTTTGCTCTCCAGGGTAACTGGTTGGCTGCTGTCTGAAACAGGATGCTGGACTAGAAGGACCCCTGGTCTGATCCAGCAGGGCTCTTCTTATATTCTTGTGTTCTCAGTAGAAGGCAAATTCATGCATTTTAAATCAAACTCATTTTTTTAAAAGCAGATGTTAGTGTTTCACTATGTGGCTTCTCCTCATATTATACCCCAAGCTGAGTGAAGATCAGCTATGAGTACTACCAGCACCACCACAGTTTCATGCCTTCACCTGTCAAAATCTGCCAGTCTTCATTCTTAATGTGCTCCAGCTCACACATAAATGCAAGAATGTTAGAAATCAAAATAATACAGAGACTTTGTGAAAGATTTCCCCATACCTTACTGTTGAAAGAACAGACACCCTCCGCTATACCAGCAGTCAACTATAGCATGAATTGACCCTGAATCTGTACAAGTTGGAATAAATTTATACTATTTCAAATATTTTCACATATTATATTGTTCACATTAGGTGAGCACTCATGTGAACTGAGAATTATACATGCCAGCTGAATCAGTCCTGAGATTAAATTAGAAGCCAAATTTCGTAATAATATTCATCTATAATGTTAATGACTTGAAATGCAACAGCTTGAACTGTTCCATGTGCAAAACTGAATCTTTTAAGAGGGGATTGGCTGCCTTGATTAGCAGAGATGGACCTTTTGCCATAGTTTGCCTAACAAACTATTAGACGCCAAAGACTTAGCAAAAAAAAGAAGTAACATCCTTAGCTGGATCTTTGTCTCTCCCCCATTTTGGGAATGTGACACCAGTTGGTATTTAGGGAAAGGCACAGAGATAGCTATAAGCAGTTTTGTATTATGAATTTACTGGCAGGCAGGGAAAGAAAATGTCATATTTAGCTGGAGCAGGATGAAACTGAAGCATTTTGAAGTGTAGCTGCTCCCTGGGAATCTAGCTTGGAATTAACAGTTGTACTGCTTGCAGTGGGAGTCTGTTTGCTTCCACTATGCTTTGCTTACATATTTGTAAATAAATATTTATAAATACACTGTAAATCACTCCTTCAACTAGGAGCCACCACCACCACCACTATCAATAGCACCACTATCAATAACAACTGAAATCTATAGAGCCTGGCCCTTGGTTTGCTACTGACAGCCTGTGCCCACCCATTATTCTGAGAAAGATCAGCGAGCTGAGCATTTGGACAGTCTATGGATTGCACTCATGTGGAAATGCCATCTCTATGATACCAAAACAATCCCGCTAGCACTTTAATATTGCATTGGTGTTAATGAACTGTTTTTAGATGTTTAACTGACTGTTATTTATGTATTTACCTTATGTAAATCACCCTGAGCCCGCCTTGGCAGGGAGGGCAGGGTATAAATCAGAAAGATAAATATATAAATAAATAAGCAAGCACTCTTTTTATCCAGAGGAAACTTAACCCTGTAGAATTGCTTTTGGATTTCTCCTTCCTTGGAGAAGTAGGGGGTATAGCATGATAGATTGTATTAATTTGTTGCTTTAGCATCGCAGCCCAGATGACCCCTAAAGAACAAGGTAGATTAAAAAAAAATCTTCATAGCCAACAAGTGAGAGGTCATTACTATTTTCATTTTATAAATGGGAAACTGAGGCTCAAAGCAGTTAAACTAGTCCAGGGGTGGCCAAGCTTGCTTAACATAAGAGCCACATAGAATAAACATCAGATGTTTGAGAGCCACGAGACCTGAACAAATATTACACACCATTTTTATTTTAAAATATGCAGATTTGCATTTTAATAACATTAGATGAGGCTGCCAAAAATTAAAACAAAAGGGGTAAAACCAGATATTGATGATGATGTTTATTTGTCCAATGATATTTATTTGTCTGCTAATGATATCTATTTGTCTAAGAGAAAGAGAGAGAGAGAGAGAAAGCTTTGAGAATGCATTTAATGTTGCTTTCTTTCTCTGCTCCCCCCCCCACCGCCTCAAGCCTACCCAGGGAGGGGAACACTGGCGGTCTTCCCTTCCCCAGCTGCCCTGCCAGGAGCCGCACAATATGTGTAAAAGAGCTGCATGTGGTTCCCGAGCCACAGTTCGGCCACCCCTGAACTAGTCATTACATGCAAACATGTATAACAAAAGGAAGATGGCCCTCTTACTTATTTTTTAAAATGCTGTCGGAAGAGAGGGTGATTGGAACCAAAGATGCAATGTTGAAGAGGGTAAAACTTTTCCAGTGTGCCACTCCCTCCTGCCTATTGCAGCTCCTTCCCCTTAGCAGGCTTCCAGACTGTTCTTTCGT